AGTCTCTGAAATGTAAAAAGACAAAAGCAAATGTTTGCTTGCCAATAATAAGGGGGGGGGCTCCTGTGAGAGAGCTGTCCTCCACTCTGCCCCCCGCCCTCCCCATGCCTTCCAAGGCGCCATCAAGCTCTCATCCCAGACCAGAGTCCGTGTGGGGGTCAAAGCAAAAAAGGGAAAGCTGTCTGTCCAAATCTGTGCCACGGGGGGGGAGCGGGGAGCAGGCCCACCCCAACACCCCCTTGATACACATCTCAGGCCAAACACAGCACATCAAGTACAGATAGAGTTAAACACGAAGCTCAGATAAAACCAGCCCCATCGGGCTGCAAGTGCAGCAGAACACAGTCCAGTGAGCGCCTCGGCCCAGCCGTAACTGCAGGACACTGTCCAGTGAGCGCCTCGGCCCAGCCGTAACTGCAGGACACAGTCCAGTGAGCGCCTCGGCCCAGCCGTGACTGCAGAACACAGTCCAGTGAGCGCCTTGGCCCAGCTGTGACTCCAGACTGCGTGCTAATTGGCTCTGAGGCCAGATCCGGGGAAGGCGGCTACACCCTGGGGCAGGGTGGGGGGGTGTTCTGGTTTCTATTGTTTCTTGCATGGGAGTAACATCAAAGCCATGCAGGGAAATGGAGGGTCTGTCAATGTCTTCTGACAGGATTCCGTCCACGCCATTAAGCTCTCAGCACCCTGGGGTTTTGGCGAGCTGGAGCAAAGGGGCACGCTAATCTTGCTTTCAAATATGTCTGTGTCCGTCCCATTTGTCGCTCTGGTTTGCCGTGTACAGTAATGCAGAGACGCTCAGATTCGGACACTTCGGAGTCCCGCATGGTGCTGGTTACGCCTGAGAGTAGGTACGCCTGACCGGGCTCCTCCACACGCGTTAAATCTATGGCCCAAATTCATACAAAGCCCATGATCCCAGCCCCCTTCCCCAGTGCTGGTCCAGACGTGTCACTTACGTACAGCCTCCCGGTACTTTGCAGGACCCGTGCTCCGCACTGCAGCCCTGTCGACAGATCGCTAGAGTGGGAGAAGGAAAGAAGGAGACAGGGAGGAGAGGAGAGAGTGGGAAGAAGGAGAGAGACAGGGAGGAGGGGAGAGAGCAGAGCGAAGGAGAGAGATGGGGAGCAGAGGAGAGAGGGAGACACTCAGCATCAGTGTGCCACCAACCGGCCCCGAGCGCCCACCCCCCCTGCACCTCCACCCCCTTGGCAGACTTCTTCCCTCCCGCTGGAATGGTAAGAAGTCCTAAATTTATATGTGCAGTAACTGTCTGCTATGGTGTGGTCGGGCCTGGTGCTGTTCTGCTGCCCCAAATCCACCAGTTAGGCCCCAGACAATGAGCACCCATGACAGAGACCACTGATATGCAGAAAACATGTTGGGCCATGATGTCACAATGGGGTCAGAGGTCACCCGGGCAGTACTTGAATGCCTTGCATCCCTTCCACCTGCTCCCTAAATCATAAACTAACTCCTACAGCACAGCTTCCAAGCAAGGTGCACTGTTAAGCTCCACACCTTTGTTGCACTCGGGTCCGGACCAGCCCTCCAGGCAGGTCTTGTTGCCGTTGTTGTCACAGGTGTAATGCCCGAAGAACTCGTCCCGCGGCCGACAGAACTTGTTGCAGCCGAATCCGTAGTAGTGCTCATCGCAGGCGACCCGGATCTGGTACTCGAACTGGGCCACGGGCCCATTGTGCTTCAGGGTCTGCCAGTCTGGGCTGGGGTTGATCATGCCTGAGATGGACGTCCTCTCGATGACCTCGGAACCTGAGCAATCAGAGGGGAGATGGCAACGTCTGAGGCTAAGGGTCTCGTTGGGTTACCTGGATGCCAATTAACTAGCATATGCCCAATCGTAGAATGTTTGAATCTAATAAACCCCGCCTCCTGTGTCCCAGCACTGTTGAACACAGTCAGCATGGGTTACGGATGGTGGATATTTGGTCCCATTGGCTGCCAGGCTCCCCTCCCACCTTCAGCAGCCACACCAGCAGTACCAATGTTCATAATAAGCTGCCCCTCCCCTCTGTATCACACCCAGGCAAGGGCCTTCCTGGAGCCCCTTAGGGTAAGTGACAGGACAGGCCTAGAAGGACTATGATGCCTGGCTCTCCTTCGGGACCTTATACTCTCAATGCGTTGTTACACCCGCCCCCCTACCCCACCCCAAAATCTAAACTCTTCACAATCAGGGACAATTCTATAATTCATACAGAGGAGGCAAACTCATCATTAGCCAATAATATGGTTTGAATTGATGAGTGACAGGGGAGGGGGCCAATCAGCTTTCAGCTGGGACCAGTGCCCCTGTGGTCCCACCCCTGCTGGCAGGCGTGAAGATAGAGAAGAGAGGAAGGAGCCTCATGCAGCCAGGTCTGGGGGGTGGAGAGAAACACGGGGAGATAATGATGTTTCACGTTAGTCAGGAATGCCGAGGTCCTCTGCGGCATTTCGCTGTTGGGCTGCGGTGTGTGGCTGGGGCAATGTTGCGAGCTCATATGACCTGCCGCCGCGGGCACCTGACCAACCGTGGGCTTGAGGCGTGCTGTTTAACAGACGGAATATTCCAGGCCTTGCTGTGAAATCTCAGGAAATCGGCAGAGCGGGTTAGGGGTCGTCTGCTAAAAAGACTGACTCTGCGAGCGACAGATCCGGTCAGAGTAAGGCCTGCAGGGCACGGCGGTCGGGCTGCGATGCAAATGTTTCGCAACGCCGTGTCGGCGTCACGCTGGCATCATGCCAGTAGGAGGAGCCATGGAGCCACCCCGTTTCGCCACTCTAGGTAAACAAAGTATGGCGGACTCTGGGCTTCCATCTCCCCGCCGGACAGCCCTCACTGCGGCTTTAGATCGACTTTGTCTCCCTTAACCGTGCAACAGAGGGTTAAAGGAGGGGAAAAAAATCAGAGTCAATATTTGACCAATCCGTGGTACGCTTATCTTTACAGACAGGAAGCGAGAACGAGCTGAAAGGAACGACCTTTGACCTCGCCGTAACCCAGACTGCACAATTGTTTTCTATATCTACATCAGAATCCGTGATGTGGCTTTTCCCTGCTGCAGTGTTGGTGGTGGGGGGCTGGGAGGGGTGTTCTTTACAAGCCAGGCCTGGGGGGGTGGGGGTTCACTGCACGCTGCCAGTTTTGACGCCATGTGCCTAATGGCCTGTCTTGAAAGGGTGTCATAGGCACACTGCCTGCTGAACTCGCTCCGGCCCGCCCTGCCCCCATCCCTGCCCCCATCTCGCCAGTCCCCGCCCTACAGGTCCCACATCCCGCCCGCAGGTCTGTCTAGGCACGGATCTTTATCCTGGCGACAGACCCGGACATGAGTCTGTGTGTGCGTGTGGGTACAGACTGGGTCCTATTCACACGCATAACCGCGCTTCACGGATCAGGTAACCCCATCGCGTGACCCCCCCAACCTCACCTGCTATTAGTCATCAAGTATATAAAAACATTTTCATAGGTATACGACCCCATATGCCCCCCCCCCACGCCCCCCATGTCCCCCAATCCCTGATCCGCCTGCACCC